AATTATGGTGGATTGGATTTATCGTATTTCACAATTAAACAAAAGATGTTAGGTTGCTAACATCAAGCTTCACTACACCAAAACCAACATCATCTTACAACTTGAGCCAAGAGTAAGAATATATAAAAATAAATAAATGTGAGGGGACAAAGGTCACATTTGAAAGGCAAAGAAAAGAAATGCGATTCTCTTTTCTTTCCAAAATATTTCCCTCAAAGCAAGCATCAACAAATGGAACAGGGGACAAGCGGGAAGAAAAACTCTTCATTGAATATTCATTAACCGGTGCCTAGGTGTATACATGGCTCTTAACCACTCTTGTTTATGACTTAAGGACTTGTAGTACTGACCTTAGTTTAACACAGCAGCAGATACCAAATTAACCTCTAGCCTCCACAGGGCTAGCCATGCCCTGCTAACAAGCAACCTGTCTAGACACACAAGAAGTACTTTATGATTCCACCTTTCACAGTCCCCCCTCTTTCTCCAGGTCTCTCTCTCTCTCTCTCTCTCTCTCTCCTTTGTTTCATTCTTACCTCAGCTCTCCACCTTTCTGTCTCCACTAACACAAACTGGCACATCCTCTTGCCCTCTATCCTCTTCTATCGTTCTCCTCACCATTTCATCCTTGTTTACCCCCCTACACTGTTTTTCATGTACCTCCCAAGCTGTGCAGTGTTTGGGTCATGCACTCAACAACCTGGGTTTATTAGAGAAAAGACTTTCCTACATCCTTCACAGAAATGCTCTCAGATACCATAATAAACAAAACTAAATTATATTATTGCTCCTTGGAGGCTAGGTTTTAATCATTAAAATGAGGAATTATATTTTAATGACATTTATTTTAAAGATAGACTTTACATTTTATGTCAAAATGTAAGAAAAAATGTTTTCCAAGCCCATAAGCACTGAAAATGTAATGGTCAATCATTCAGAAAAGTCTAATATAATATTACTACTACAGTAGTTTACCACTGCTGTTGTAGTGAAATCAATATTATTATCATCATTATTATCCTCAATACATATTCTTGATGAGTAAATTCGAGGTAGGATTTAATAAGATTAGTCTACCTACTCCTTTTTAAGCAAAATATAAAGTTATTCTTATGTTTATTTATCAAAATTTATCAACATTTAATGTTCTTCCTATTATTTTTATTATTATGTTTTACATTAATTTGAAAATAATGAGTAGTTATGGAAATTATAAAATCTACACAAGTTAAAATTAAAAGATTGTTTTTCAGTAATTTAAAATATTTTACTAAATCTGTTCTGACATGTTAGTGTCCTGCTGGATGACTATCATAACAATAATAATAATAATATATTGTAAAAATGGAATTGTGTGTACTATGCCGACAAGGCAAAAAAAAAAAAAAAAAAAAAAAACCTAAAGGGTAAAAAAAAAAAAAAAATGTTTCAGTTTTTATAATAAATT